CCTCAGGGGCGGCCCAGGATAAGCTGAGGGCCACCAGGATGGGCTGAGGGCCACCAGGATAAGCTGAGGGCCACCAGAATGGGCTGAGGGCCACCAGAATGGGCTGAGGGCCACCAGGACGGGCTGAGGGCCACCAGGATGGGCTGAGGGCCACCAGGATAAGCTGAGGGCCACCAGGACGGGCTGAGGGCCACACTGCGGTCCCGATCCGTGCCCGGTGTCCCCTCCGGAGCCATCCCGGTGTCCCCCGGCCCCGCTGACCCCCGGCTCTGCCCCCCAGGCTGCAGGACCTGGATCGGGATGAGGAGAACCTGGGAGAGAAGGTGAGTCCTGGGATGTCCCCTGTGTCCCCCCTGTGTCCCCACCGTGTCCCCTCTGTGTCCCCCTCTGTCCCCACACTGTTCTCTGTCGCCATGTTGTCCCCACACTCTGCTCTGTCCCCTTGGTCTTCTGTGTCCCCTCCACCCCGGTGTCCCCATGGTGTCCCCAGTGTCCCCGTGGTGTCCCCAGTGTCCCCGTGGTGTCCCCAATGTCCCCAATGTCCCCAGGAGAAGTTGAGCCTCATCCACGGCTTCCTGCTCCTCCTGTCCCTGCTGTCCCCAATGTCCCCCTGCTGTCCCCAGTGTCCCCCTGCTGTCCCCAGTGTCCCCCTGCTGTCCCCAGTGTCCCCAGTGTCCCCAATGTCCCCCTGGTGTCCCCAATGTCCCCCTGGTGTCCCCAGGAGAGCGTCCAGGAGAAGCTGAGCCTCATCCACGGCTTCCTGCAGGCCGAGGTGCAGCTGCAGCTCAGCGAGCTCGAGGCCAAGCTGCGCCGCGAGGAGCTCTCGGAGGTGGGAGCCCCAAAACCCCCGGGATTCAGGATGAAACCCCGGGAAAACACAGGGGAAACCCCGGGATTTGGGATAAAACACTGGGATTTGGGATAAAACACTGGGATTCGGGATGGAACCCTAGGAAAACCCCAAGATTTGTGATAAAACACTGGGAAAACCCCAGGATTCGGGATGAAACCCTGGGATTTGGGATGGAACCCCGGGGTTGGGATGGAACCCCGGGATTTGGGATGGAACCCCGGGATTTGGGATGGAACCCCGGGGTTTGGGATGGAACCCCGGGGTTTGGGATGGAACCCCAGGATTTAGGATAAAAAACCCCGTGATTTGGGATGGAACCCCAGGATTCGGGATGGAACCCCGGGATTTGGGATGGAACCCTGGGATTTGGGATAAAAAACCCCGGGATTTGGGATGGAACCCCGGGGTTCGGGATGGAACCCCGGGGTTTGGGATAAAAAACCCCGGGATTTGGGATGGAACCCCGGGATTCGGGACGAGCTCCAGGCCCCGCTGCCCTCCCCAGGAGCGTTACCTGGCCAAGGTGAAGGCGCTGCTGCGGCAGGAGCTGTCGGGCCGGAATGGCGCCGCGGGGGCCGATCCCGACCCCGATGGCAGCG